TAATCTTTTACTAGCTTCAACCATCTCCTTTGTCTCATATTCAACTCCTTTTGGGTGAAGAAATACTTTAAACTTTTATGATCAGTATAAATATTACTCTTTGCCCCATACAAGTAATGTCTCCATATCTTTAATGCAAAGACTAAGACTGCTAATTCTAAATCATATGTAGGGTATCTTGTCTCATACTCTTTCAACTGTTGGGAAGCATAAGCTATTACCCTACCCAACTGCATTAACATAGCACCAAGTCCCTAAAATGAGGCATTTGTATAAATATCATAGTCTATACCCCCCTATGGTAATGTTAGAATAGGAGCTGTGGTGAGTCTTTCTTTTAACTCTTGAAATCTCTCTTCACACACATCTAACCATATGAAAGGAGTTATCTATTTGGTAAGAGCTGTAAGCGGCTTAGCCAATTGGGCAAATCCTGCTACAAACCGCTTGTAATAACCTGCAAGCCCTAAGAAACTTCTAACCTCTTTCACTGTCTTCGGCCTTTGCCACTTTAAGATTGCCTTTATCTTGCTGAGATCTACTAACACACCTTCTTTTGAGACAATGTAGCCCAAAAAGATAACTTGATCCAACCATGACTCACATTTAGAAAATTTGGCAAACAACTTCTTATCTCTCAATCGCTACAGCATAAATCTCAGATGCTCTTCATGCTCTTCTCTTGTCTTAGAATAAACCAGGATGTCATCAATAAACACCACTATAAATCGATCAAGACAGTCATGAAACACCCGGTTCATCAAGTCCATAAAGACTATTAGGGCATTGGTTAACCCAAAAGGCATCACCACAAACTCATAATGCCCATATCTGGTCCGAAATGCAGTCTTGGCGGTATCTTGTTGTGCAACTCTTGATGATGACCCGACCTCAGATCAATCTTTGAAAACACTACGACTCCTTTAAGCTGATCAAATAAATCATCTATGTGAGGTAACATGTATTTATTCTTCACTGTCATTTTATTCAACTCTCTGTAATCTATACATATTCGTAGCGACCCATCTTTCTTCTTTACAAATAGAATCGGAGCACCCTAGGGAGAATGGCTAGGTCAAATAAAACTCTTGTCTAGGAGTTCTTGGACTTGCTTTTTCAAATCCTGGAGTTCGGCTACGGCCATACGATAAGGGGCTTTAGAAATTGGTGCTATCCCTAGTGCCAACTCAATGCTAAACTTCGTTTCTCTTTCTGGAGGTAAACCTGACAAATCATCCGAAAATACATCTGGGAACTCCCGGACTACTGGCACATTCTGGATCTTTGATCGAGGGAACTCACTACTTTGCACCACCTGGGCAATATACCCGGAGCACACTTTTCTTAAAATCTTTCTGGCTTTTACACTACTAATTAACATACTAAGTTAATGGCTCTCTCTGAAACTAAACTTATCGCCGTCATCAAGATCAAATCTTGCTTTCTTCTTTCGACAATCAATTTCTACTTTATATCTCCCTAGGAAATCCATGCCCAAAATAACATCAAAGTCGAGCATGTCAAACACAATAAAATATACTGGCAACATTCTTCCATGGATCACTATAGACTCCCCTAGAAGCATCTCCCGAGTTACCACACTATCACCATCTAGCAATTCTATCTTAATGGGTTGATCTACTGTAATAGGTTTCAAACTCAAATCTCTCTACAATCCCATGTGTAATAAATGAGTGTGTTTTTCTAAAATTGGGGAAACTCAATAGTCCTTGGCCGTTTATTCTTCCTGTCCCTCATGTTTCTCTTTGACTAAAATCTTTTCTTATTCTTCCCTTCTCTATTGCTGAAGGTATCAAACCTGTCTCTTTGTGGAGCAAGAGGTGGACTACTAGGCATTGCTGCTAATGGAGTCAATGGAGTTAACTTATTCACAAATACTTTCGCTCGTAAAGCTCGTTCCAAAGCCTCACTATAAGTTTGAGGAGGCTGGGCACCTACCATCACATCTCGAGCTATTTCTGGATTCAGCCCATGCACAAACTTGTTCATCCTCAATTCTGGAGTGCTCACTATACCTGGTGCAAACCTTGCCAAGGAATTAAATCTAATAGAGTATTCTTTCACTAAACTGATTCCCTGACGTAGGCTAATAAATTCCTGTATCTTTTCATGCATTCTGTCAGTTGTCCTATATTTTGCCTCAAAAAGTCGTCTGAAATCTCCCCAAGTCACAGTGGGTACATCATAAGTCTCCTTCATCAGCTTCCACCATATTCGGGCATCACTCTTAAACAAGAAACTCGCATACCGGATCTTCTCCCAATCTGTCATAGGAAAAAGTGTTATCATATGCTCCACAGATCTAATCCATTCTTCTGCCATTATTGGGTCAGTCGTACCTCTAAATTCTGACGGCTGATGTTGACTAGGTAACCCATAAATGGGCTCAAGACGACTCTGTACTATCAGAGGTACCGACCTTTCTCTCTCCCCTCTAGTGATCAGTACAACAACTAAGGTCTCAACTCTCTCCGATATAGGTCTCCCTTGGCTCTCTGCCAATACCTGCTGAATAATGGTACGAATCCTCGCCTTATCGAGGATAGGGGAGTAGATTCGAACGGGTTGGATGGCTCACCCATACTCGATGCATTCTTCTTACCGGATCGAGTCGTCCGTCTCATCTTAAAACACATATCACCAATACTATTAGTCAGCTGATAAACATATATATTTGATGTAATGAATGACTGTGGAGGCTATGTGTAATATGTTATATATTACCTAAGTATGAGCTTGTGTATGTATAAATAAGCCTAAAGATGATATGTTTCTATGAATTTGTTATGCATCCGCAAAATGGTCATAATGAAATGATATGTTCATATATGGAAAGTGTATGTTTTTAAAGAATGCAAGTGTAGAATTTCCATAGCTTAGAAATTCATGTTAAAATGTGTATAGTACAGTATCTCTTTCTATTCTCTTTCTATAGCATGCTATGATATAAGGTTTTTGCGATGCGGAACCCATGAGTGACAGAGATGCCCACATACACGCCACCACGAGCAAGCGGCACAAGCATAGAGATATTGTATTTGTACAGTCTATGAATAGTGTATGTGGATGAAGACTGTACCCAGCAGAGCATACCTACATGCACGCCGCCACGAGCGAGCGGCCACAACAGAGAGATACCGTACTTGTATAGTCCGTGAGTAATGCATGTAGATGAAGACTATACTCACTCACATGACCAGGGTTCTAAATCCATGCATCAACTTAGTCCGATCGGCAAATCAGAAAGAAGAAAGAAAAGAAAGAGATACAACATAAGAGAAACATAAACAGAAAAGAAAAGAAAGTTCTTTTCTTAGGAAAGTTTATTATTCTGTATATGTATTATGCTACTTACATGATTCAGTATTTTTATGTGCTCGACGATATACAGTTTTATTCATTGTCTTTGCACATTGGTAAGTAGCAAATCAAAGTATTAAAAAAGAATGTAGAATATCATAAAAGAACGCAGAATACCAGAAAGGAATGAAGAATATTAGCAAAGCATAAAGTGAGAAAAATAAAATAAGAATATGAGTAACGGAGGAAGAACAGTCATACAGTTTGGTTTACTTACTGAGCAATTAGTGCTCACTCCGTTATTTTACTGTTTTGCAGGTACTAGATGATTTACGACTAGGTGGGGCGTCAAGAAGCGGAGGAGTTTAACGGCATTGTTCAAGATTACCTTATACTTACTAAAGTATATTAGTATTTTGTATATATATTTATATGAATTAAAAATTAGAATTTTCGGATTTTGCATTATTTATATATGTTTATAAAAGTTATTTAATGGATTTTATCTTATATTTCTCAAAGAATTACTAGTTATACAGTATATTACATAGCATAAGTGATTGCATATCAACTAGCAGTCCTACCATCAGTATTTCATAATTTCAGCCAAACAATGAGATTCCCAACAAAGTTGTAGCATGTGTCCATGAAAGATCCAATAGTAAAACATCAACTATAATACATTGAAGTGCAAATTGCAGAACAAATATAAGCCAAATATGGTGCATAACATGCAATCAATTAAAACAAATTCAAATTAACCAATTTCCTTCTTGAAAAATGGTCTTGTTACAAGCAGCTCTGAATGCAGAAATTTTTTACTGTCAAAGGAAGAATAATCCGATTCAAAAACGTGATTTTTCATTTTTATTTTTTTGTAGCTTTTGAGATTTAATTTAATATGATATTTGTCCACTTCAATCCCATATAACTTTAGTTCTTTACAAAGGGCATTCAACCGTGATATGATTAGATCTTTTCATCTTTTTTTCAAATGCGCTTTCCATTAATACACTAATAAAAGAATAAGACCAAGGATATAACTATTACAAGTTCATATTAATTCTAGCCTAAAATTTTAATACAATACTATTCAGCTCCATCCAACAAAGGTATCAGAGAAGCAAATTATGATATTTTTAATATGGCCATAACTTCATGCTTGAATGATTGTTCAACTTCAAGATCAAAACGAATCAGAGTTCAATTTTGTCCCCCAACAAATACGAGAAAAAGAAATTGGACGACAAACAAAAAACACAAGAATTAAAAAAGAGAGAAAGAGAGAGAGAGAGAAGGGTCTTACTTACCTAAGCAGGCGGCGGCGACGAAGAATAAGGAGCTTTTTTAAACGAACAGAGGACAGATGCAGAATTGCAGATGGAGAGAGAGAGATGTTAGGAAGGGTCGAAGTGGAACGTCGAACGGTCGAAGGTGGATTAGGTTTAGGGCTTCAGGCTTGTGCATTTTGTTTTTGGGCAATTTTTTTTTTTTTTTAATTTCCACGGGTACCCGCAGTATACCCGGCCCTGCAAAAATATGGGTCAGACCGGGTTCGGTGAATAAAAAAGGGTCCAAAATGATGGATCCATACTCTGTATTATTATTTTGACGGATACGGATACCGCGGGTATAGACCCGTTTTACCAGACCTGACTCAGAAGGGATTTGTTCCTTTAGTAACATAAATCGATACATAAACGAAACCCTTGTTTAGGATCACTGTCTTCTTCTATCTCTAAAATATGCGGTCACCGTCAAGAACATCAGGTATAAGCGATTAATGAGTGATTAACTATTCTTGTGACTTTTTATGTCATGAGTTTAGACTATTTACTTAATGGTTCTTAAGGGTTTTAGATAACAATGCTTATGATACTTGTTTTCTGTAATTGCTTATGCATCGATGGTTACACAAGTTAGTTTTCAGAGGTACCAAAAATCTAGGGCTAATGTCTCTTTTGTTTTTGATTAAATGGATCTTAATTTGATCATCTTTTTATATTAATTTTACGAAATTTCAACGTGTTTCTTTTTGATGGTTGATTCTGCAAGAACAATTTTGGGTAGAATATTGGATAATGGTTTTGAGCTTAGTAATTGAATAAGACAATAGGTTTGGGTTTTAATAAATGAATAATATTTTCAGCTGATTATGTTATAACTCTACAACTATGAAAAATATTGCAGGCACATTGGTGGAAATAGAGAATAATAGAAGATCCAATCAGGCAAGAAGGCTCCACTTTAAGAGATCATCATCATGGGCTGATCTTCCGCAAGAACTTCTTGAGATTATTTCTAGAAGTCTGAATATAGTAGACTATCAAAACCTTGGTCAAGTTTGCAGAAGCTGGAGATTGTTTTATTCAGAATTTAAGCAGAGTTTTTTGACATCTCATTCACCACTTATTGTTTATTCATCAGCACGAGCTAAGAAGTATTGCCATTTCTTTGACATAGCTACTCGAATGAAATACAAGACTAAGCTGCCTCGATATCTTTGCAACTTCAAGTTCTGTCTTGGTGTTTCAAGTGGATACTTAATCATGCTCTCTCTCAAGAAAAAAGATGTTTCAAGGGCTTTATGGGTTATAAATCCTTGTACAGGACATCAAATCCAATTCCCTTGCATGCCTCGGCCTCCTCATATTAATGATTGTCGTGACTCTGGCATCTTCCGTAGCATCTTTGCTTCCTTCGGATCTCAAGGTCAAGAATTTCTTATTATGATTCTTTATAAGCATGGCTCAAGCTTGCAGTTCTGTACTTCTAGAGATAACAAGTGGAAAGAATGCCATTATATTAACAAGGGTTGGAGTCTATTGGATATAGTTGTTTTTGATGGTAGGATATATGCTCTAGACAGTAACTTTCAGATTGGGATATTCAACCTGAGATCTTGTGATCTAAGGTTTTTGGAACTGAAATTTGCAGCTCGTTTGTGCAGTTATTATGATAAGTGGATTAGGTTGGTGACTTCAAATGATCAGCTATTTGTAGTTGATCCTCCTGTAGTTTACAGAATTGACTTGTCAAGGATGGAATGGGTGAAGGTGTATAATTTAGGTGATCAAGCTTTGTTTCATGGCTACGATGACATGATGTGTTCCAAGGTAATTAACCCATCAAAGTGGGGAGGACAAACCAATTACACATATGGTCTCTTTTTCGACTCCAAAAGATGTAGTTTATACTCATTTAATCGTGAGGAGCCACAAAATGCTATTGCTATTGATGTGTTACGGAATGGGGATTATAGTTGTTTTGCTTCTCCCAAAATATATTCTTGGTATTTTCTACACCAATCAAACGTTATTGATAATGTCAGGGATGATTAGTGGGGTGGTATGTGGAAGATTTTTAACTCAGACGAGGTAAGTGTGTGAACTTCTTTTTGAGTTATATGTTGTTTCTTCTTACTTTTATATGAATGTTTGCTGACTCTTTTGTATTTCCATTATCAGGTTTTTGTTGTTTCTCTGAATCTAGAAATCACAATATAATTTAGAGTATAGCTCTACTATTTTGCTTTGTTATCGATCATGAAACCTTGTTAAAATATTTAATAGGGAATCCAAAGAGGGAGACATTTACAATACTGGAAAAGAAGATTTCAGGGCAGTACACTTATCAGCAATATTCTTAATTCTTGCTGAGGTCAGTTTCCTGGAAATTCCGTTTTGGGCAATTAGATGTGTCAAAGTCAAACTGCCTCTATCTTATATATGCGTTGTAGGATAAAATCTTGCTATATCGTGCATTAATTCTCCTTGGTTGTAAACTTGGGAAACAGTCTCAGTGTCCAGAGACTTTGTTAATTATGTTATTTTTCTATTTGTTTTACTTCGTTGTGACTAATCATATTAGCATGATAGCTAGCCAGATCATGAAATTCTTTTTCATTTGTTAGTCTTCAGGTCTGTGTGCAACACTGCAACTTACATGCACAAAAGATAATCTAAAACTAATTACTTCACTGAGAGTCAGTATCTCTGAGGCCGTTCTTTCCAGAAAGTTTATGATGCATAAGATGAAGCTTATCATAACCTCATGTGGTACCTCTGTGGTCAACTATTTTGATATATGACATCAGATAGATAAAAGAAGTAAAAACCATTCTGTGCCTTGTGTTCAGATTGACACAAAGTTAATAAAGGCTAATACTAATAACTAAATTAGGATTAAGATATATTAGTCATACCTGATGGACAATGTAAGGTAGATATCCTTTATGTGCAAAGATAATTTTTAGTCATACGTGTGCTCGTTATATGAGCAGAGCAATAATTATAATTGGTTGGTTATACATACAGTACAAAATGAAATTGGCCCAGTTATGTTAGCTTTACTCCCTTTTTCACGAATAATGTTAGTCTTACTCTCTTTTCTTACTCTCTTACCTAGTTAGTAAATACGCGTTTTATACGCGAATTATACGGTCATCCATATAATTCACGTATAAAACGCATATTTACGCACTTTTTAAATGACTATCGAATTATTCGCGACTTATTGGAACATCCGTATAATTCCTGTATAATTCGCGAATTATTGCAAAAGAAAAAAACCCTGATTGAAACGACGTAGTTTTGGTGGGGGAAGAAGAAATCAGTGGGTAAGGGAAGAGATTATTCACGAATTAACCACCATCTCACACCTCCGGCCTCCCCACTTCCAGCGTAGCCCCTCACCGAGTACAGCCCCCAATGATTAACATCCCCGCTATTGAATTTCAGGATTTCTTTCATACTTTTTTCATTTGTTGGTTCTGATTTCGGTGGCTGATGATTCATGATTTTAGTTTAAAGTGTTATTTTGGAAAGGAGGGTAGGCTGGGTGGCCATTGGGGATTCGCTGGAAGGTGGAGGTGCTGGGAAGGAAGGGGTGAGGGTCCATGAGGTGGTTGGGCTTTGCGGAACTAGGAAGGGTTGATGACGGTTTGCTGCTCTGCGGCAGCTGTGTGGTGTGACTTGTGAGACAGTGAGAGTGAGTTGGTGGGTCATGGGTGCTGGTGAAGAATAAGCATTAAGCGGTGGCGTTTTATGTAGAAAAAGATTAATAAATCCTTTTATTGAATTATTTTATTTATTGAATAATCTTATATTTCGGGTTGCATTGTAACACTAATCTTTTATATAAATTTGTGAGGCAAAATTTTAGTTCTTGATTTAATATAATTTAATGGATTAATGGGAAGTTAAAATTGGTTACATTTAATATCAAACTTATCAAGCTTTAAATTAGTAAAGAATCATGGCTAAATATTGTGTTTGAGTTTGGAGACTATAATTTGAATATCAGTTATATATTGTCTATTTGTGTTATTGGTTAATTGAATACTTTGCATTTGAAATTTTATATTGATTTTAACTAGATAATCCATAAAACTGTTAAAACTAAGATTGATATTGTCGTATTTTTTAAAACGTATTATTGACAAGGCACCGTATTAAACTCGTATATACTTATATTGTATTTTTCTCGTATCCGAATTTTATGGCCAAATTTTTATAAACGTATTTTTCACCATTTGTCGTATTATACCTGTAAAATTTCCGTACCTTTTTTTTGTCGTACTCGTATTTACTAACTAGGCTCTCTTATATGGCAATTGAGGTGACAAATGTCATCTCATATGTCACATCACCTAATTGTCATGTAGGATCTCTAAAAATTTTAAAAATAAAATTTCTGCTTCTCTAAATTTGCAATTCCTAATTTTCTAAAAAATAAAAGTTTATTCCAATTTAAAAAAAAAAAAAAAAATCTGCTTCTTGAATTTGCAATTCTCTAATTTTTAAATCCAAAATCATTAGAAGAATCCTAAAATTCGAAATCTCTCCTTCTCCAAAATCATTTGAACACTAAAATTGAAATTGGGTTTGGAAAATGATTTTGGGGGAAGGAGAGATTTCACGTTTTAGGGTTTTTCACCACTACTAATGTACCCAACTGTAAAATCATATCGTTTCCCAAGTCAGTCTTCTTCCAACTTTCGCTGAACTACCAAAGGAGTATCATCTCTGAACTGGTGCTAACCTGAGTGAAAGAGATGGGAAGCTTTGCGATGTGAGGCTACCAAAAGGAGCAGATAGAGGAGCTGCTATATGGATTCCCATCTCTCCACAACACTGTTAATTCCCTCACTTTCTTCCCCACCGAGGCATTTTCATCTCCGACTCCAACTGCATTTAGCAACAATCAGCGTTCTACTTCTTTGATTCTAGCTCTTCCTTTCACGTTTTCCTCTTTACTTTCAGCATTCTAGAACTTAAAATTATATATCAATTACTCAATCAGAAACCATAGGGGTACCTGACAGGAAGAGAAACAAAATAAATTTGTTTTCCTAACATCAATTCTGATTATTTTTCCAGCAAATAGAACATAATTCAGAGGTTGTCTTTTTCCCAATTCCGCTCAGTTTCAATTACAATGCACAGTATAATAACAAACACAGCAATTATTGTGACTAAAATTGAAATTGGGTTTGGAAAAATTCTGGGTTCAAATGATTTTGGGGAAGGGGAGATTTCGAATTTTAGGGTTCTTCAAATGATTTTGGGGAAGATGAGATATTGATTTTTAGGGTTCATCAAATGATTTTGTGTTAAAAAATTTGGGAATTGCAAATTCAGGAAGCAGAAATTTTATTTTTTTTTAAATTGGGATAAACTTTTATTTAAAAAAAAAAATTGGGAATTACAAATTTAGGAAAGCAGAAATTTTATTTTTAAAATTTTTGGGATCCTACGTGGCAGTTAAGGGAGTAAGAGAAATGAGTAAAAAAATGGGAAGTAAGGCTAGCATTACTCCCTCTTTTTACTCCCCCTTTTTACTCCCTTACGTGGCAGCTAACATGGCAGATATCACCTCATATGCCATCTCATTTAACTACCACATAAAAATAATTTTTTTGAATAATGAACTATTTACTTGTAACTGAACAAAATAATGAACTGTTGCTAAGAAACCACCAGACTCACCCCACTGGTTCCCAATTGTTCGCCAAAGTGAACACAATAACTAGCAATAATAATCGTGGGCGTGGACAGGGTCCAGGTCGAGGTTATGGGCGAAACAATTAGCGACCTAGAGGTGGTCATAACAAGAAATTTCAATCGCACCACCCGAAGTGGAGCAAGACTGAATCAAAAAATGAAAGAAACCACTCACAGAATGAGGATAATGAAAACAAGTGCTATATATGTGGAGGAAATGGCCATTGGTCACGTACCTGTCGTATGCCCAAGCACTTGTTGGAATTGTATCAAGCATCGATTAAGAACTAAAAGATAGAAACAAATCTCACTAATGCCCCTGAGTCAAATCATATTAATAATTCAAATCCGACTGGCCTTAATGTCTTAGATTTCTTTGGAGATGTCGATATGGAATATTAGAGTAGTTATGAAAATGCCTGTGATTTCTAAGATTTATGTAACTTTTGTTATGTTTTGAAATGATGTATTTTTTATGAATATTTTTGTCTTGTTTATACCTCTTTAAGTTATGTAAACATCTTCACTAATGTAAAAAAAAAAATCTTTAAAGGATGAATTTAAAAAATGAAACATCGATTTACAGTAATGATGGAGACATTTGTATAGTAAACAGTGCAACGACGCACACCATCCTTCAAGATAGAAAATATTATTCAAATTTGACATTTACTGAAGCTAAAGTAAATACCATATCAGGGTCTATAAACATAATTGAAGGCTTTGGAAGAGCAACACTCTTGTTACCAAGCAGAACTAAATTAAGTATTCATGATTCTTTATATTCTAGTAAATCCAGAAGAAAATTATTTAGTTTCAAAGATATACAACTCAATAGATACCACATTGAAACTTCAAGTGAAAATGATGGAGAGTTTCTATGCATCATTGCTAATATTTCATGTCAGAAACATGTAGTGGAGAAACTCTTTGCTTTCTCATCAGGGTTTTATTACACATTCCTGAAGAATGTCGAAGTCTATGCAGTTATGAACCAAAAGTTCACTGATTCATAACTTTTTAAGATTTGGCATGACCGTCTTGGTCAACCAAGATCTACTATGATGCGTAGAATCATAGATAAGGCACCCATTAAAGAACTTGAAGATTCTATCACCTAATTAGAGCACTTGCATTGCTTGCTCACAAGGCAAATTGGCACTTAAGCCATCTATCATAAAAGTTGGTCTAGAACCCCCATCATTTTTACAAAGAATTCATGGGGACATTTGTGGACCTATTCATCCACCAAGTGGACATTTTCGTTACTTTATGGTACTGATTGACGCGTCTGCACTATGGTCACATGTTTGTCTACTATCAACCCGTAATATTGCAGATTACCCAATTAAAGCAATACGTTTGGACAATGCTAGTGAGTTTACCTCAAAGGCATTTAATGACTATTGTACAATTATGGGAATTGATGTTAAGCATCCACTATCACATGTACATACCTAGAATGGTATGACAAAGTCATTTATAAAGCGTATTCAATTAAT